ATGGCATTTTCATTTCATTTCAATCTTCAAGTCATATTAATGACGGTGACGTGCGAGGAGGATTGGAGCCATATTGGTATTTCGTATTTCATGTTGTATTCAGTCGGCAATTGGTTCAGGACACAGGTGTTTCATCAACGCATCGTTTCATTCAGTTAAATTGAACTCTTAGTGAACTTAACATCAAACCACATCGATCATACCGCATTCATTTCACGTAATACTTTATCTAATCACTGACAAGTTGGCTTTGTCAAAACCTCTCACCAGTACCAGCCAATGCCGTCATAATGTTATATCCCAGGTACTGTAATCAAATAATGGTTATCGTTATTCCTTTTAACAATATTTTATTATAACGATTGCAGTCGTGTTCTCTACACAGTGATAATATGAACTAATTTGTCCGCTCACCTTTATCGTTGCCTCCAATGCCTCTGAAATGTTTTCCCTAAGAAGAACAAATGCCTTCGCACATAAAGACGTCTATTCTCTTTCCTGCAAATGATTTCTTACTTTAATGGACAAGTCCATATATTGAGTAAACAAGCAGCGTGCAATCGATCATCGATGTCAATCATGTCATGTCTAATCAATCATTATCTGATCAATTCGATAGAATAATATCTCTTACAGGATTATGAATCTGTTCATCGAATCGTACAAATCTGTTTCCAAACAAAATTTTTGCATCATATCACAATTCCATTTATTATTTGCATGAAGTATTTCTTGTTGATAAGTGCGTGAATGTGATGCGTGATATGATGCCACCAATATGCAAGGATCGGATTAATTGTGGATTGGTGATGTGGTTTCGTTTAATTTGCGTTTGAGAAGTTAGCTGATCATCGGTTAAGATGAAGAACAAACACCAACGAATTTACAGAACGACGGAAAATTCCTTATCAATTTTGAGCACTTCATGAAAATTTCGTTCATGGGTACATTGGAGTACTCATTTTGTTTTTAACATTCGTCGCAATTCCAAGCTATCATCATTGATTTTGCATCATAAATCAACCAGCTGTCAAGTGAGCCAATATTCATTTACTAATTTGCTACACATCCAAGGAACGCATCAACTTCGAAACTTTTGATGTCGACGATATGTCAAGAATCGAATGCGATCTCTGATAAAGTTTTAAGATTTCAATTGATTCCATCGCTGAGTTACAATAGTATTTCAGAGGAACTACATCAAACAATTCGGATTAGCTAATGGATATCGTATGTGTATGTGCATATGATAAGTGAGATGAATATTGAATGAATAAATGAAAGAGTGAATGAGAAGAGAACGTGAGAAGGATGCATCGATTAGAAAAGGTAAATTGCTGGCCAAAAGGCACAAGATAAAACATAAGACGAAGCTGCATCAAACAATAGAGGTATTTGACTAGGTAGTATTATAGTCTAATGGTAAAAGTAATACTAGTAGCAATATTGACCATAGGTAGCAGTAGTTAGCATAAGCTTAGCTCAGCGTCGTCGAAAATTGAAGAATTGAATAAGAGGAGGAGCAGAAATGAGACTGAAGCAGAGTTGTCACTGCAGTGCATATACGATGGATTGAAACGAGTTTAGGGGATGCTAGTGCTATCTAGCCGCATGCTAGAAATGAGCAGTAATGCTCTCGTGCTCAGCTCATCATCGTCAACGTTTAATCATCAGCACGAGCGTCACCGTCATTCCCTTTAACAAATGAAATGCACATAATTACCACAAGCAATTCTTCAAAGTGGCACGAACCGAACAAGTTGATCAATCACTTGATCACTTGATCACTTGATCTCACGTTGCCATGTCCTTGGCCTATGCGCCGCACATGCGTCATGCTTCACGTCGTTCCGGATATTTTTTGTTATTCCCGTTCGAAGTCATCTTCATTGCTATTGAAATCATAATGGATTTCTTTCGTTCACTTTCTAAGCAAATCCTAACTTTAATCAACCAACAATCAACTGTGGTAATTAAATGGAATGTGCCAGTGCGTTGCATCTGATTACTCGCATTTGAGGTTGATCTAATCCTTCGAAATATCGATCGTGATTCGTTTCAAATATTTTAACGATTCGTCGAATTATTGAGTTGTTCTAGGAATTTCATAGCACGGAACTGAACTCAATGCACTCATCCCATGCCATCGAACGCAATTTCACTGAGTATTTCCCAAATGAAACAACGCGAAGTTGAATTGTCATCATTAGAACAATACGTACGATCTGCTTCACCTATCCATCGTTCTTTCCATCTGCGTAAGGCGTAAATGTAGGATGAAAACAGTGTGTTGTTTGATGTTTACGAACCAGTAACTATCGTGATTATTGTGAAAGAAGACGAAGAAGGGTGAGTTATAAGTGCATATTTCGTAATTTACGCTCATCGATGAGGATCAATTGCGATCGTCACATTTAGATATATTCTTATTATGCGTATATTAGTAAGTGGCCAAAATTTACACGGCTAACAGATTATTCATTTTATTCTGTACGGTCTTCTCGCAATCAGTATCGGTGAGATAGATACACATCAAACAATTCGCTGATCGTTTTTAAAATTTCAATAAGCATGAAGAATAAGTCTCAAAAAAAAAGAACGATTTACAAATATCAGTGAATAAGGTTAGAGGTTGGTGCGTGCCGTTCGGATTCGACATTGATGGATCAGCGAATTCGATTGGTACGATAAAGAAATGGAATTCATTTTTGCAATCTATTCCTCATTTTTAATTTCGGCAACAGTTGGTACCATAGATGTTGAAATGTTTGTTGAGGGAACGAGATGGGTTCAATAGGATGTGTTTTATTATGGGGAGCGTTTTTACATTGATTAACTTTGAGTGCTGAGATAATTACTGTTTTCACTCGATCGTGTTAATTACCTTTTGAACTAGCCCCATCTGTTCATTAGTCAGCCGCGTCGGAAACTTTTCTGAACGACTTAAGATTGGCTATGTAAAATGCATATTGCTACGCATCCATTATACCGTTCATGATTAGACGTTCAATTGAAGTGAACTTTCGAAGGGATTTAACAAAAGTAAGTGCCTTGCATCTGGTTGGAGTTGTGTCTGTTTCTTTGGAAAGTGTAGGTGTGGCGTCGAGCCATAATATGAACAAGATTATGAAATCTCATTTGCATTGTCCTT